GGAGGCCCTGCGCATAGCGATGCGTGAAGCCATGGCTCGCGCCGCGGTGTCCGCCACATCAGCAGCGATTTGTAGGGATGTTCTGCATGCCGCGAATCCCTCTTGAACTACAGCTTTCAAAAGATGTTTCTTACTGTCCGGGAGATATTGCATTAGTTCCGGAAGCTTGGAATAGTTATCAAAATTATGGTTTGATAGGAGTGCAGCATAGTTGGCGATCCGAAGGAGTAAGGTTGAGGAAGAATAAACCTTACGGCCGAATGAATCCAGTTTTTTTGAATCCTTGTCCGGAAGGGAATTCTTAAAGTGCGAAGTCTTTGTCTTATGGCAGACTGCATCGACGATCAACGAATTCGGCTGAGGATGATTGAAAAGAAAATCCAGGCCTTTTGATGGTACGAAATACTTTTTGTCCACTCTTTTGTTAGTGGGTGGCACTGAGGTTGGCGTTTGCCAGATATCCTCGGCCACTTCCATAATGGAGGATGATTGAAAAGAAAATCCAGGCCTTTTGATGGTACGAAATACTTTTTGTCCACTCTTTTGTTAGTGGGTGGCACTGAGGTTGGCGTTTGCCAGATATCCTCGGCCACTTCCATAATGGCTTCATCTATCGGTAGGGCAATCCTTCTCTGTTGCTTCGGATGCAAATTTTTGAACAACTTATGTTGTTTTCCTTGAGTCTCAGTGATCTGCACCTCTTGCGATTGCGCTACACGGCGAAACAGATCCTGGAATTCCTTTAGATCATCAGGGAGTGACGACTCGCTCGGAGTTATAACTTTGACAGCCGAAGATACTGAAGAATTAGCATTAGGAGACTTGTCCGGTTCTGACTCAGAAAGTTGTCCCTCCTCCAGGTCTGATTGCTGTGACCTAGGAGTCGGGGATCGTGGGGACGACACGGGTCTCCGGGAAGGGTGTCTCTGCCGTCCAGAATGTGTGGAACCTGGACTTATGGAGCGACAAGAGCATGGTGACCTACAGCGAGATCGTGACCGACTACAGCGCGAAAATTCGTCATAACAACGGTCATGATAATGTGAGCCATGCCGAGCAGAGCGTGCAGGTGATGAATGCTTAGATGCTCTAGCGCTGCCATGCCTATCATAGTACAAACGCCGTGATGAGTACGTGGAACGTCTGGAAGGAGATCGAGACCTAGAGCGCCTGTGATGCGAACAACTACGCTCCCTATGATGATGATGATGAGAAGACACCCTGCGACTGCAACTCTTCCTACGACCCAGAGTGTGAGAAGATGCCTCCGGAGAGGGTGAGCAAGAGAGCACCCGAGCATGTGAATGGGATGGTGCCCTAGAAGTCTGAGGTGGGAGCTGCTCCTGAGAGGAAGGCTGCAGGGTTGCAGATTCAAAGGAATGTGAGGAGGCAGGCATTTGGTCTGCAGGCTGCTCTCCCGGTGCACACAGTGCTGAGGACAGCTCCCTGCGAGGAGAGCTGTGTGAGGAGGCTGGAGTGCTCGGCACCGGGAGCGTGGGTGCCGACGGAGCTGGCCCTTTAAGGGGCTCCTGCGGTGCCGGCTGCGGCCGCGGCTTTGATGTGCCGGGCGGCTTTTTTCCTGCCGGTGCACGGGCTGCCCTGGAACCAGAGGCACCCGGCTTTCCTCCTGCTGTGCCCCGCGGCTGTGGGGCTATTGGCAGGGACTTTGCAGGAGAGGCTCTCTTCCTGCTCGGAGAAGGTGCCTTTGGGGAAGGAGCCCTCCGCTTCTCCAGGGTAGGGTCCGAGGCAGAGGATCCTGCCGAAGTAGAAGGCATCAGTGCCTTATTGAATAGAATTTCTTTTAACCGCCTTTCCCGCTCCTTACGAGCTCTGGATGTAAGTTTGGCACAGTGCCCACACTTTTGGGGAATATGTGTCTCCCCGAGACAACGGACACAGGCGGAATGACCGTCCGAGAGTGGCATAGAGTCCCTACAGATAGAACATTTCTTGAAGCCGGGAGAGCCCGGCATTTTGAAGTACTGAGGGGACTTGTCCTGCGCCCCTGTCTTGGGACACTCTAAAGGTCAAGCCTTATCTGCCCAACGTATCTCGAAGATCATCGTTTCTTGTATTACTACCTGCTATAACATGGCCAAGAAACCGCTTCTATCACACCCTAGAGCTCATTCGACACGAGCGATGGCTACGTCAACGGCCTTTGTTAGAGGGGTACCTTTACGCGACATATGCCGTGCTGCTATATGGTCTTCCAGCACAACGTTTGCAAGGCATTACGCAATAGTGCAGCGCTTGGCTTCTGATTCGGCCCTAGCCTCAGCGGTGTTGCCAAGCCACAATACTAGTGATTCCGTAGCCCACGTTTAGTGGATTACTGCTCCGGAGTCACCAGACATGGAGCACCCACGGGGACTACCCGAAGAAGAAGAAGAGGTTACTCACCTTCGGTGCAGTAACGATGGTTCTTAGAGGTGTGTCCCCGTGGGTGCTCCACGACCCGCCCTCCTCCCCGCTACGGAATCTTCTTTATTATCTTTTTCAGATGGCGGTGAGAGGAACTGGCGGGGACCGGGTCGCGCGCGGCTGTTCAAAGGCGCGAACGCTACTCGCGCATGCGCGACCCGGTCGATTACAGCTATGGCAAGCTCCGATTCGCGGCGCCGGGACCAGCCCGGCACCAGACGTGGAGCACCCACGGGGACCACCCGAAGAAGAAACTTCATTCTACGAGGAAGAATGCCTTTTCCAAAAGAGCTCCTTCAGAGAAAGGCATGTGTGGACACGGAAGAGGGAGTTTTTTCAAAAGAAGAGGAAAAGTAAAAGCACAGGTGCCCCCGGTGGCCACTCCGTCCATAGTAATCACAGCTTAAATGTGAGCTAGCATCCATTCAGTGTGGACACTATCTTTTGAAAAAGCAGATCGCTTTTTCAATGCCCTTTGGCAGTGTGGACATGCTCTTTGGGAAGAAGTTTTTTCAGAAGATCTCTTCCAAAAAAGCTTCTTTCAAAAAAAGCCTGCAGTCTAGACGTACCCATTGTGCTGTTTCTCTGATGGATGTTTGTTACCTCCAGTTGTTTCTCTTGCTCCATATCTTCTTTGTTCTACTGTGCTAAGATGGTTTAGATCACAAATATTTTGTCCTGATTGATAAATACTTGGCCTTCTTTCACAGCCGTCCGTTTGCCCACTGCTTACATCTTGATGGGCATATACAGCAATCTTTGGCATCTTCATGTCTGTTCTCGGCTTCTTCCTTGAACATTTGGTCTGGTGGCCTTTGCACTTATCTCTCACACATTCCTCTCTGTCTCACACATAACAAGGTTGATTTCTTTGTTCCAGAGGAGCAATATGCACTTTCACACAAGGACATCAAATTACAATTTCAAGGATGTTTGTTTTAAGCCTAAAACAGAATGGCAACCATAAGGGTCTATTCCTACCTTGGAATCAGCTTTAGACACAATATTCTGGCTGGTGCACCTTTACCAATGGTAAGGTAAATTATGTCCTTTCGGCTTTCTGAAAGGGCGGCTGGCAAAGTACACTGGGGCACATTGCTTTGCATAAAGCTACATTTTAGCTACATGGCTGCATCCTCAGGGCACACTCCTGAAAGCAGGTGGGAGCACAACAGAGCCTTCTCTTTGTGGAATGATGGGGACGGGGAGAGAAGGCAGAGCCAGCAGCTGGCATCAGAGGGGGCTTCGTGCCAGGAATATGGTTCCCTGCAGGTTTGCAATATGCTGCCCATCCCCAAGGGTGCTAGTGGTCGGAGAAGTGGGGACCAGGACTCCTGGGTTCCCTTCTCAGGTCTGTGAGGAGAGTGAGGGTTGGGAGCTGGATCAGGGAGGAGCAGGAGGAGGGGGAAGGGAAAGTGAGGATGCCGGGTTCGGTTGCTGGCTGTGGGATAGGAAGGCCCTAGCAGGATGGTGCACAGGCAGGACTGCTGGGTTCATGGGCAGCAAATGTAAGGGGCAAAGGCAGGAACTGCCTTCTCTGGGTCTTAGTGCCCACCCTGTCACTTCTTCCTACCCCTGTCCCCACCCTTCCTGCAGCCTCCCACAGCTGTCTGGGACCTGGTGACTCTTCCATCTAGTAATTTAAAAGGGAAAACTCTTCCAGCTTCCATACCGCTTAGCAGAACGTTTATATGGTTAAAGAGCCATTCAAGTGGCAATAAAGCCATTTCACAGGCATTTGCCAGACCATCCCCCCGCCACATGTATACTGTCAGTTTCTGAGTTTGCTGCTAAACAGCTGTGTGTTCTGGTCAGATTTACTCAGAACGGGTTAGTCTACAGGACCTCGGTGTAACATCTGCTATAGAACAGGGATCGGCAACCTAAGACTCACGTGGCACGCCAGATGATTTTCCGTGGCATGCGCAATGAAAGCAGGGGAGGGGAGAGAAAGCCCCGAGCCTCCCCACCAGATCTGGCATGCGGGGAACACTAGCCCTCCCTGGCTCCATGCATTGCCATTTCCCTTCCCCAGCTGGGACAGGCGAGTGCGGTGCAGCAGCAATTAGGCGGCTCCCTTGGCACTTTGCCGGCAGGCAGCTGGAGCAACCTCTGCTAGTGTGTAGTTTCCAGAGTCCAGAGCACTCGTCCAGTCCTGGATAGCCCTCCTCAATCCACTGAGACTGCCCCACCACCTCCCCCTGCACCCCTGTCCCCCTCCCTGTGGGACTGCCTCTGCAGCATGGGGCCCTGGTCCTGCTGCGCCACCTCCTCTTCCATCTCCAGGTGGCCACTTGTTACAGCAGCCACTGCCGGCTCTGCTACGGGGTGGGGAGCAGCAGTGCATGGAGCCACTCACTCTCTGCCTGAGGCAGATCTGAAAGGGAAGGCTGGGGCTTTCTTCACCCTCCCACCCCACCGGCGGGTACTGCAGCCTCACAGCTGCACAGGCTCCCCGGTGCATGGGGAAGAGGGGAGCTGAACTCCCTCCCCCACCCCAACCTACCCTTCTAGGGAAAGGGCAGCGCGCTGTCTAGAAGCTTTCCCCACTGTAAGGGGGTCACAGCCAGGTGAGCATCCCCCGCTCATGCCTAGACCCCCACACACCAATCCCCCTCACTCACTTCCCTCCCCACGCCAAGACCCCACACCCCCAGCTTGCTCGGACACCCTCCCTTGCTCCTGCACCCTCCTTCCCGGCCAGACACCCTACTCCTATCCTGCTCCTGCACTCTCCCCCCTGGTCAGTCACCTACCCCCACATTGTTCCTGTATCCACCATTGCTCCTGCATTCTCCCTCCTGGCCACACACTGCACCCTCCCTTGCTCCTGCTCCCTCCACCTGGCCAGATAACCCACTCCCAGCCTGCTCCTGCACCCTACCTCCCACCCAGATCTCACCACCTCTCCCCGTTCTGTACGCACCTCCTTCCCAGAGCCTGCACCCCATCCCCATCCCTATCCCACTCGCTGGCAACTCTGTCTCACACACTGAATCCCTTATTTTTGTCCCTATGCCAGAGCCTGAGGGGGTCCATAAAATCCTGTAAGGCTGACACCTCAGAAAAATAATTAAAAAAACAGGACTATGTAGCACTTTAAAGACTAACAAGATGGTTTAATAGGTGATGAACCATCTTGTTAATCTTTAGAGTGCTACATAGTCCTGTTTTTTGTTTCAGCTACACCAGACGAACTTGCGTAGGTCTTTAGATGCACAATCTGAGTATTCAGCTTTAGTTGTAAATGCTTGGATTTACGGACATCTAGTTTTTTAAAAATAAATCTTATCTGAAATACACATTTTAGTTTTAATTCCTAGAGTACCAAAGTCTTGCTTCCCAAGTCTGCCTATCTCTTCTGTCGATCCCTGTACATTTAATCTTTCTCCCTTCACTATTATCCCCCCTTTAAGAGAGCCTTTAGAGACCCTTCTCTTCCAGATAGTTTCCCTTTCTTGACTTTTGACTATCCCCACCCACTGCCCATACTGACATTCCATCCCCTGTTTGAAGAGGGGAGTGAGGCCTAGTGGTGAAAGCAGGAGGGGCATGGAAGAGGATTCCTGGTTCTGGTCCCCAACTCTGACACAAACACTCCATGTGACCTTTGACAAGTGTTTTCCTTTCCAGACGCCTCAGTTTCACTAGATGTGCAGCAAGACTATCCCATTTTCTCTCCCCAAATCCCTGTGAGGGAAGGGGTGTCCATGGACACAGGGGCTGTGCGGTTTAGTGAGCAGAGGGCTGGAGGAAGCGAGCTGCGTGGCAGCAGATCCTCCAACTCTTCAGTCTGGGTGGGAACAAGGACTCCCATGAAATCACTGCAGCCGTAGCGCCAGGGGCTCTGGAGGAAGTAGGAAGAGATGGGGGGCAGGAAGAGCTGATCTCACCTGGAGGCCACTGGAGATCCTGCATTAGCCTCTCACACCCAAAGACACCCCCTCCTGCATTCCCTGCATCAGACGCTTACCTGTGCAGTAGAATGGGACATCAGGCTCGCTGGGCGGGAGGTAGCCTGGTCGGCACGTGCAGTTGTAACTGCCTTGGGTGTTGGTGCAGTTGGAGTTGGGGCCGCAGGGCGATGGGTTGTGGGAACATTCATCAATATCTGGGAGAGAGAATCCAGACTGGCCATGTGTGACGCTAGACACCAGTGTCCTCCTGCCCCCATTCCTCACGCTGACCCAAACCCCACTGGATCCAGTGGGAATCTTCCCATCAGCCCCAGGGGCCTTTTGCATCAGTCACTCTGCCCTGTGCCTGAACCAGCTCTCACCATTGCACTGCGCTGCTCTCCAAAACTGGATGCAAAGCCAATCTTACAGGGGCAGAAGTGGCCCCCTAGAGTGTTGGTGCAGGTGGCAACTTCAGGGCACTGCGCTGAATGCAGATGGGCTCTTGTCTGCACAACAGAGTCTTCTCTTGGTAGGAGGATGGAGGGGAGTGTGCCAGATAAATAGCTCACTGCAGGTTTGCAATATGCTGTCCATCTCCCAGAGGCAGCAGTGCTAATGACCTGAGACATGGGAGCCAGGGCACCTGGGATCCCTTCTCAGCTCTGTGAGGAGAGAGAGGGTTGGGAGGTGGAGCAGGGAGAAGACAGGAGAAGGAGAAGGGGAATTCGGACACCCGGGTTCGATTGTTGGCGGTGGGGTAGGAAGGTGCTGGATTGGTCCTAGCAGGATGGTGCACAGGCGGGACTCCTGGGTTCTATCCTGAGCTGCAGGAGGGGAGTGAGGTCTAGCAGATTAAGCAGAAGGGGGAGTCGGGGCTCCTGGGTTCCACTCTTAGCTCTTGCACAGATTCTCTTCGACTTTGGTCAAGTCTTTTCCCCACCTGATGCCTCAGTTTCCCCCGACGTGACCTGGAGACAATTTTCTCTCCCCAGATCTCCTTGCCCACTGTTGCAGGGCCACGTGCTCAGAGGCAGGGCACCCACCCCTCCTCTTTAACCGACAGGAGCGAAGGCTGCTCAGCTGTCATAAAGCATGTTTCCACTATGGGTCTCATGCACACGGCCCCATTGGTGCGCCTGGTTTACCCTGTCATCCAGATTTTCCGTGTCTGTCAAAAGCTTTAGCTCATTCCTTACACCCCCACCCCAGCCCAGCGCCAGCCCCAGCCCAGTGTATCAGAGCAGGGCAAAGCCCCGGTCCCAGCCCGGCTGATGGCAAATCGCTGTTATTTCAAGGAGTGTTGATGGAGCAGCAGCCCCGGGGGGGCTGGCCCCAGTGTGTTGAGCACGGGGCAATGACCAGCAAAGGGCTTTGGTCCCTGGCCATGGGCATCCCTGAGAGCAAAGGCTGCGCGGAGACGGCCGTGGTCCCAGGGGTGCTGGCTCCCTCCAGGCGCAAGAAAGCACCAGATACAGAGCCGGGCCGAGGGGCTGGTGTGCGCTGGGAGTCCCTCAGAGACCCTGCCGGGAGAACGCCTTCGGGCTTCCCACTGGCTCTCACCTGATCAGTCCAGAGGGGCGATGCCGCGCTTCCCTGAGACTCGTCTGGAAGAGCTGTAGCCAGATTCACACTCACAGACAAAACTTTTGTCAGTGTTCTGGCAGGAGGCATTCGGGCCACAGGGCAGGGGGTCCTGGGCACATTCATCGATATCTGGACAGGAGCAAACAACCAGAGTCATTCAATGACACAGAAAGGCGCTTGTCTTACCCACAGTGGGTGGGAATTACGGGTCCCCCTATGGACCAGTGGGCAGGAGGACTCTTAGGGTTGATGCTTTCCGCCAATGGTGGGCAACCTGCCACCTGCAGACCCCCCTGTCTTCCTTCCTTCCTTCCTCTCCCCCTCCCCCCCCAGACTGGTGCATTGGGCTGGAAAACGCACATCAGCTGTCTGTGGCCTTCCAACCCTGGGAGGGAGAGGGAGGAGCAGGTAAGTGTGGCGCTCTGGTGTCTCAGTACCTGAGAGGTGTGAGGGGGAGGGGCAGACAGGGGGTCCACCAGTCTCAGATGGGACCTCAGTAGGTGATGGGCTGCTCCGACCCTCTGAGATGAAGGAGGGTCACTCATGCAGCCCACTCATTATCCTTGGTTGCCCATCGCTGTTTGCCACTGTAGAGATGCCCTGTTTGTTACATTTGGAGCCAGCTAATGAACCCCATGGATCACGGGTTAGTGCAGAAATATCATGAATGGAACATTTACCATTCAGGTCTGAAAACATCTGTCGTTTAGGAACACAGGGATGGCCAGACTGGGTCAGACCAGTGACCATCTAGTGCAAAATCCTGCTTTCATCAGTGGCTGGCACTAGATGCTTCAGAAGATCATGTCAGATGTTCTTGCTATTTGTATCAAAGCCTAATCCTTCTTCAAAACACGATCAGTTGGCAGCCTCTATGAGTTCCTGTGGCAGGGAGTTCCTCAAATGAATGCTGCTTCAGGTTAAAAATAATAATTTCCATTTCTCTATTTTAGGAGTTGGATTGTGTCTGGCCCTGACATAGGTTCAGAGGAGTACGGAAAACACTACTTAGATACTTCCACAAGGAAATCCTCCTTCCTCCCCCTTCGAGGGCCACACTTTTCTTCTATTCTTCCTGGTGGATCATGGTGTCCCAAAAATAGGTGTGAAGGAGGCGGGGTCACAGTATGCTCCTCCCCTCTGCACTTGCTAACAGTGCTGCCTGGCCACTTGAATGAGTGAAGGACACAGCTTGCCCTGAAGAACAGAATCTGAGCTATTTAGGGAGGAATTCAGCCCCCATCCCCTGGCCACCCTGCCCAGCCCCAGAGCCGTGTGCAGATTCCACTTTATTGGGAGTCTCCTGGTCAGAAATGAACACATTGACCGGTGGGGGAAGCCAAGTCCCTAAATCTGTTTGGCCACATCTCTCCCTTCCTCGCTCTCCTCATCCCTGCATCCCCCTTTCTAGTCAGCAATGTCCTTGATACAGACCAAGTGGAAGACCCCTCCCCAAGACACTAATGCCAGCGACAGAACAGTCACCCCATTACACGGCTCCCCTCCCCCAGCTGGGCTCAGGAACTCACACTCACCTTGGCACGTCACACTATTATCCATGAAATACTGCTCCCCAGTGCTAGACACAGACCCCCATTTGCAGGCGCAGCGATAGCCCCCAGGGATGACTTTACAGGTCGCATAACTAGGACAGACGGTTGACTTTGCACACGCATCGTCTGGGAAATCAAGGAGGAAGGATTGAATTAAAATCAAACAATTAATTTCCCTTTGCACCTTCACCCCCTTGCACATCTTCCATGGGTTTCACACTCGCTCTTTGTCCCTGCCCGCCTGCCCCAAGCGGGGACCTGGCAGAAGAGGTGCCTGGGGAGGTCAGATCAAGGCAGCTGGACCCTCTTCTAGAGGCATCAGGTGAGGAAGCCAGAAAAGCTCTGCAGGCCTCTCCCCTGCAGCTGGAGAGGAAAAGCCAGCGGGGAGGGTAGGAACAGAGGATGGGTGCTGCAGGTGCTGATCCTGTGAACTGAATCCGCTGAGGAGAGGGGCTGTCATGCCCATTTTCCATGCCTGGGGCATAATGCAGACAGGGGCAGAGAACACTTGGATTCTGGCATTTCCTAACTTCGGAGTGCTTGACTTGCAACCTTTCGCACAGTGTTCCCCAAAGTGTTGGGAGCGCCCCTGATGGGGGCATGGAGGAATGTTGGGTCTGACTGGACCTGAGACATCCTCCATGGGTGCACCCTGTGAGATCAGAGCCTAGCAATGGCCCGTTGCACCTGTTTAGTAAGAAATGCAGAAGGAACCGGCGCTTGTTATGGAATTAAAAGGCAGCTCTGTATAATACCCCGCTGAGCAAGTGGCTTTCTGCTGAGGGGTGGGGAGAATCAGACACAACACAAGGAGCAGAAGAAAACGGAAAATCAGAACAAGGAAAACGCAGGGAAAGGACAGGAGAAAATGGGAAATGGCAAGTTCTTTGCCCGTTCAAAGTCCCCTCTAGCTGCAGGACACACGGGGGTTCAGATCTGGAGATTTTGCCCAGGTTTCCAGGCATCAACTTACCTGCATTGGAGAAAAGAGTCTCCTGGAAGCAGATGAGCCAGCAAAATCCTGAAAGAGCAGGAAGAAACAAGGATAGAATCACAGAATACTACAACTGGAAGGGAACTTGAGACATCATCAAGTCCAGTTCCCTGCCCTCTCTGCAGGACCAAGCACCATCTTCTAGATCATCCCTGACACATTTGTCTAATCTGCTCTTTAAAATCTCTAGAGAATCCACAACCTCCCTCGGTAATTTATTCCAGTGTTTAACCACCCTGACAGTTAGGATGTTCCTGTGGCATTGGGCTTTACTGCAGTTAGGTGGACTAGTGGGCAGAGTGGTGGGCAAGGTCCCGGGAGATGGGGGGTTTATTCTTGGCTCTGCTGGTGGAGCACAGCCACGTTATCCTGGGCTTTTTTTGCATGTTCCCAGATGCTGACATTTTTAAATGCCCCGTAGTTTGAACTCCCTGCCCACGGCTATATGCAGCACGGACCAGGTAGTTCGAATTAAAGCTCTTAATTCGAATTACCGTTACTCCTCCTGCAATGACAACTAGGGTGGCAGTGTAGACATACCCTAAGTGTTCCTGCGGAAAACTGCTCTAGAGGCTGGGAGGGGCTGAAAAGAGGAAGAGGAAGGGACAAGTCTGAGAGCTCCACTCCCCTGCTGCCGCACAGCCCTGTAAATACACGTATCCTGCCCCACCCTACACCTAGCTGGGCTGTTGGTGCCCATTAGTCCCACAGGGAGGCTGGTCCAGAGCCTCCTTCCTCTCCTGGTTAAAAACATTCTGCTATTTCCTAGCCTGAAACCTCCAGCCACCTCAGTTCCCAAAGGGAAACCGCCTCGTGGGCTGGGCTGCACGTGCGGAACACCTGGCCCACACTGGACCTGACACGGCCCTTTGATCCCACCCAGCTTGGCCCCTTTCTTTGGAACTAGGGTTGCCAAATGGTTGAAACAAAAATACCGAATACCCCCCTCAAAAAAAAAACCACACACGTTGAAAGGGAAAAAAGGGGGGGGAGGGAGAAGACCAAAAAAGGGGACTCCGAGGTCTTATTAAGCCAAAAAATAAATTAAAATAAAACAGAATTAAAACAGCATGTCCCCTTGTTTAAGAGTGAGTGCAGGGATAGGAATAGGGAGCGGTTGAGCTCTAAGACCCAGGGGAAAGCATTGCTTCCCCTAGGTCTTTTGGCTCACAGCCTTGGGGAACCAGGTAAGCATGGGGGTTGGGGTTGGGGGCTGGGCACTGAGTGTTTGTAGGGTTGCCATGTGCCTGGCATTTTCGCCTCCTGGCAGGGAAAAAATTCAGAAAATACTGAACATCTCAGGTGTCTGGTATTCTCTGAATTTTTTTACCGGACTGTCCAGGTGACACCAGGCAACCCTATAAAATGAAACTCAGATGGCACCGTGAGCCTCTGTAGCTGTGAGTGGGACAGAGAGAGGCTCCCCGCATCCCTGGTGTCGTCTGAGCTTTCCACCTGCCTTCCCAACTCCAGAGGAGTTTTTCCCGACCCACTGGGCTTCTGGCGCCTCAGTCAGGGAGTGTTTCTGAACCTCTCGGGCCTCATCTGGGCATGGAGTTCTCACAGGTAGTTAGTGCACCCAGCTTTTGGAGATACCCACATGGCTGGGAACTTCTCCCCTGCGAGGGGGCGCTCAGAATGAGCCAAACCCCCATGTCCTTTCTAAGCTCCCCGTGCTGTGAACGTGGCCAACAGTCTATGTTCCTAGATGTACGTCCAGATGTTTAGTCCCACTGAAATGCGGATTGTTTGATCTCTCTGTCTCCATGCCCTGTCCTGTCCCTTACGATCTCTTGCCCAATCTGCGCAGCTTCTGAAAACTGCCTGGCTAATGACTCAGAGTGTGTCCAGATCACTCATCAGCTCAGCACTTACATGACAAGTTAACGATTTGGGCTGAATTCAGTAATTCAGCGACTCCCATTAATAACATTTCTCACCTTTCTCTTATCTTATGAAGTTTCATGTCCTGTCTTTTGAACACTTTTTAAATTTTGAACCTTCTTTAAAATGCAGAAGGGACCAAAACCCGGGGAGAGTTTCTTTGCTTATAGTCCCAAGCCCCTTTCACCAGCACCAGACCCAAAAGCTCTGTCATCTCCTCCCAGGGCTACTCAAACTGTTCAGTGGGCCCCACCTAAAACAAGGCAGCTGCAGCCCTCCCACCCACTGGGACACTCAGCCTGCGGGAGAAGAGGAGGAGGTTACCATGGGTCTAGCAGTGAGGGAATCCCAGGTGGCCCATCTCCTCGCCTTGTTGGCCCTGGAGCTCTTTGCACTGCTGGGGGAGCATCCGCCGCAGCCCTGTGACCTTCCTTAAGGCTCCTCTTTGGCTTTCTTCCTGCACGCAGGGGATGGTTCTGCTACTGAGGGGAACATCCCTGGTTTCTACACAACCCCACCTGTGACATGGGCTAGAGAAAGGCTCTGAGGCCCCGCTCCCACTTCCTTTACCCAGAGCTGGAGGGCTCCTCTTCCATTCCCCTGTGTGGCAGAGCCCCTCAACCACAACTAGGCTGGGCCCAGGACTCCTGGGGGGCTTGACCCCCAACCTTGAGGTCACTTAGGGCAGGGGCTGGGTGTCCCCATTCTGGGGTCCTCTCCTTGCACTAGATGCTTCCCTGACCCCTGCTCATCACCGACAGCTCACAGCAAACACACCCAGCAATTGTTAAAAATAAAAACCGGGAAGGTGAGAGGAAAACAGGCCACCCTGCTCTGTGGCAGGGGACGTCACACCCAGTGCCTCTGGAGTGTCAGGGCAGTTCACAGGCTGCTCCTCACACGTCCCAGGCCTCCTGCCCAGGCCCTGGCTGTGACTTCAGGCTCTGGGGGCAGGGCCCTTCTCCCCAATAGCAGCCCCCAATATGGGTTACGATCCCCCCCTCCCCACACACACGTCTTGTTTGCTCTGTGAGGCCGTTTGGCTGGAGGAATCTTCCTGGCCTGGGCCCTCTGCCCAGAGCCCCCCTTGCTCTCTGCAGTTACTCCCCTCCCCCCGCTCTGGACTGCTTCAGCCCCCCAGCTCCGCTCTCTGCTGCAGTTCCTCCAGCCCCCGGCTGCTTCTCTGGCCCCTTTGGCTCGCTGGCTGCAGCCCTGCTCCCAGCAGGGATCCGCTCTCGGCGCTGGGTCTGCCTGGCCCGGCTCTGATCTCCTGCTCAGCTCCAGCCCCTGCTCTCTCCTGAGCTCAGCCCTACTCTGCTTGACCCAGGCAAATCCAGCTCACCAGAGAACAAGACCCCTGGTGTCCTGACCCTCTCACTGGCCTGCCAAACAGACCGACGGGGAGTGATGTCCTCTCCCCTTTGCTCCTGGGGACTGGCAGTCTCAGGGTCCTGATCTATCATGGACCCTTCCCCCTCCTTTTGTTACGGGGGTGAATGACCAAACCCCACAGAGTTTCAGCAGGGGGCTAACACTGGCCGTCCATTCCTCTGAGTCTCCCCCACACAGCTCGACTGTTCCATGCCTAACAGACACAAAAGGCTGCCTGGGGCATCCCCTGCCTCCATGCTGCTAGTGTCTGGGCAGGTTTCCACCTGCCTTGGCACAGGTGGGGCCCACGGAACAGTCAGCACAAAAAGGCCTTAAGTTAAGGTGGGTTTTTCCAAGCCTCCATTGGAGGAAAATAACCCAATTCCATGCACACTTACCTGCAACAGGAGTGATAAACTGCACCCTCATCGTGGCTGCTGCCTTCTCCTGCCAGGCAAGGAAACTGCACCGACTTTATCCTGTTCTCATCTAGCAGAGGAAGTTTGCTGAGTGTCAGTGTTTTTTCAGCTCAGTGCTGTTCCTCTTGCAACATGCCTCCTGCCCAGGGTGATCTCTGGACACCTAATACATGTTCATTATCAATGTCACCAAACAGCAGCCCTGCAATTAACAGGAAACAGTAAGGGAAGTTACAATCTTCTCTATTGAGGAACTGAAAGTGGCGTGTGGGGGGGCATGTCTTGTATGGGCCTAGCAGACAGGATGCCTGGGTCTTATTCTAGCTTGACAGGTGGATGATCTAGTAGGTAGCGCAGAAAATGGGAATTGGAACACCTGGGTTTTCTTCCCAGGGCAACATTACCTAGTGGCTAGATAGTAGGTATCAAAATTCAATGTTGAGAAGGAAAAAAGTTGTGGGGTCAAGCAAAATGTTGCCTTTCAACACTGTTTTTTCCATCTGACTTGCTGCTTTGAAAATGTGGTCTTGCATGACACCTCACCCTGCCACACACAATACAAATGTCAGAAGAAAAGTCAATTTGCAAAGGAAAACTTGAACAGGTTGGCTCCAAACACGTTAAAAACCAGACTCTGTTGGAACTCCCCTTTTCCAAATGCTTCTGTTCTGAGGGACACAGCTAAGGGCTAAGGGGGAAAGCCAACGCCTGAGGAGGACCACATGGATCAATCAGAGACATCTCTTACGGAGAGTCTATTAATAGAATTCTCTATGTACTAGTAAGGAGGAGAAGAGGGAAGATGATAAAATATGATAAGAAATGGTCGAATGAAAAAGAATGCCATTCAAACATATCAGGAAATGGTAGACAGCTAAACAGTGACAAATTTTACACAAACACACTGATACACAAAGTCTAAAAAATATGATGGGTGAACTAGAGTGCCTCGTATTTAAGGAGGATGTTGATGTAATAGGCATCACAGACACTTGGCAGAATGAGGACAATCAATGGGACACAGTCATATATCGGAAGGACAGAACAGGTCGTGCGGGTGGGGAAGTGACACGATACATGGAAGAAAATGTAGAATAAAATGAAGTAAAAATCTTAAATGAACCAAAATGTTCCATGCTCTAATAATAAGAGTAGGGATATATTATCCACCATCTGACCAGGATAGTGATAGTGATTATTGTAGGGTAAAATTGTCCTAGGCAGTCCATGAGGTTTCGCTAAACTCCTATTCAAATTCTGCAGCCTTACCTCCTGGTGACTGGGGCTCGCTTCCCAGCCGTGCCTCCCTGCGCACTTCCTCCTCCTCCCCGGAGGCGTCTTGCCCTTTTGAATTGGGTGCGCCTCCCTCTTCGTCCCACGCGTGAGCGCGATTGGCCTCCCCTGCCTTTGGGCCATCTGTTGGCGTCCGCGGCGCCGGACTCCTGCTCAGCATGGCACAAGTGTGGGGTGTGACTGCTTGTGATGGAGTTGCAGGGCTCCGCACTCCCATGGGCCCAACCGCACAAGGGAGAGGGGGCAAGGTCGGGCCACAGGCAAGCGGTGCAGCTGCTGCCAGACCCATCCCGGTGGAACATGCATCGGCACTGGGGCCTGATGTCACGCGGCGCGAGCTTTCGGCTGAGATGGGCACAGTGCAGGTGGTGGGGCTGTGATGTAACACTGGGCAGGCCAGCCGCATTACGTAGTGGTCGAGCACCCGGTTCGAGGCGTCGGCCGGGCAGATGAGGGGGTGGAACTGACAGCTCCCAACTCGCGGAGCAAAGAGGAGGATGGCGACAGACTGAAGCCAAGTGAACTGAAGGTGGGTAGGAAGTGACCCAGGGCAGGGTGGGAGGAACCTGTGGGTCGACATATTACGGGCGTCGGCCCCATCAATCATAGAGGAGCGAGCAGGATTGTTCTCCCCTCAGGGCCCTGGGTCAGGACCCGGTTGTGAGGGAGGGCCCGGGTTCCTCTACCCCCTCTCGGCACAACCCAGTGACCTAGATGGCGAGAGGGCTGCTTTTGCGCAAAAACTTGCCAGCTGTCTACACTGGCCACTTGAATTTGTGCATGAACACTGACGATCTAATGTATGATTATCTGCAGAATGGTATAAATTATCTGCAGAATGGTATAAAGAGCAAGTGGAAAATTTACAGATGATACTAAATTGCTCACTGGAAAAAATAATTCCAACTACACAAACAAAATGATGGGGGACTAGTTTAGTTATAACCACTCGAGAGAGAGATCTTGGGGTCATTGTGGAGAGTTCTCTGAAAACATCCATGCAATGTACAGCAGAAGTCAAAAAAGCAAACAGAATGTAGGGAATCGTTAGGAAAGGGATAGAGAATAAAACAGAAAATATCAGATTGCCTCTATATAAAACCATGGTACGCCCACACCTTGGCTACTCTGTAAGGATGTGGTCGCCTCATCTCAAAAAAGGTATATTGGTATTGGAAAAGGTTCTGAAAAGGACAACAAAAATGGTTAGGGATTTGGAACAGATGCCATATGAACAGAGATTAAAAAGACTAGGATGTTACATCTTAGAAAAGAGGAGCTGAAGGAGGGATATGATAAAGGTCTATAAAATAATGATAGAAATAGAGAAAGTGAATAAGGAAAAGTTATTTACTTGTTCCCATAATATAAGAACTGAGTTTCAACAAATGAAATTAATGAGTAGCAAGTTTAAAACAAACAAAATGAAGTTTTTCTTCACACAGAGCATAGTTAACTTGTGGAACTCCTTGCCAGAGGATGTTGTGAAGACCAGGACTTGAACAGGGTTCAAAAAAGAACTAGCTAAATTCATGGAGGTTAGGTCCATCCATACTTATTATAAAGAATAGGTAGGAATGGTGTCCCTAGCTTCTCATTGTCAGGGTCTAGAAATAGATGACAGGAGAGGGATCACTTCATGATTACTTGTTGTGTTCACCCCTCTGGGGTATCAGGCATTGGCCACTGTCAGCAGACAGGATACTGGGCTAGATGGACCTTTGGCCTGACCTAGTATGGCTGATCTCACATTCTTATAAGGGAGCTGTCCCATTTAGTTCTTCCCTGGGGTTCCAGCCTTCAGTCAGGGAGGGAGGCTGGGATGAGGCTGGTGTGATTATTTGTGGGGGCTTGTTCCAATGGGGCACTGTGTCCTCGGCTGCCAGCAGCCACCGAGCGGGCCCAGGGCTCCGATTCTGCCCTTGTAGGGATGCAGCGGCTGCCCCCGTAATGGCGCAGAGCTCCTGGGCTGATGGGGGAGGGAGAGCCGAATGGGATGCAATCACTACAGGCACCCTGCGGGCTGGGGGCCCAGCTCAGCGTGGGGACTGCAGCCGCCATGTACTGTCTGCAGCTCCAGGATGCGCCTCAGGTGGAACATGCTGCCCAAGATGGCTGGGTCAATAATAAAGAACAGGGCCATGTGCAGGGGAACCTACAGCACATGCCTCATGCTCTTGGGGTCACTGCTGGGTCCCTAAGCCAGAGAGAAAGGACCTAGGCAGAGCTCAGGCTTGACCCTGGTGCAGTACTTTTCATCAATAGAACTCAAAGTGATGCCAGGGCCCTGCAGAGGTGACAGTACGCTGGGCACCCCAGTGTGGCACTCCGGCAAGAAGATGCCGGCAGGCTGTGGGACTCGGTTGCAGCAGCTTCCAACTCAGTTCCCGGGGCTCTCCTGGAGGCTACCTTGCTAAGCAGCAGGCAGGTGAAAGGGAAAGGGCACCATTTATGTGGTGCTGCGGGGCCGGTAGCTCCTAAAAATTGGAACCCCTGAATTTCATGTTTGAGATTTGCTTAAAGTCCATGTCCTGACTCCAGAGGCAGTTCTTCAACACAATAGTTTGAGCTGCGTGCAGCTTTGCCTTTGGGGCAAGGAGTTTGTTATAAAGAGAGGCAGGCAGGGGGATTAAGAATAATAAAGGCCTGAGCATTCAAGTAACTGAAGGGTTGTTAGATCATCATGAAAACATTGCTGGATACTCCACTTAAAAGAAGAAAAAGGGAGAAAAGGAGTAACACAAACTAATCCAAAACTGACTGCAGAGAGTTACAAACTAGATGCTTGCAGATGGAACTCAGTGTTGATATGTGCAAAGTAATGCACATGGGAAAACATAATCCTAACTATAGATACAAAAATGATGGGGTCTAAAATAGCTATTATCACTGAAGAAAAAGATCTTAAAATCATTGTGGAAGTTTTCACTGAAAACTTCTGTTTAATGTGCAGTGCAACTCTAAAAACTAAAACGCTAACAATATTGGGAATCATTAGGAAAGGAACAGATAATAAGACAAAATACCATATTGTCTCTACATAAAGTCATTTTATGCCCACATCTTGAGTACTGTATGCACATCTGATCACCCCATCTAAAATTGGATTTGGAAAAGGTACAGAAAAGGCAACAGAAATGATTGGGGATAAGGAACAACTTCCATAGGAGGAAAGATTAACAAGACTGGGACTTTTCAGCTTAGAAGGGAAGGGTATGTCTACACTACAGCGTTATTTTGAAATAAGCGATTTTGAAATAGCTTATTGCAAAATAATGTGTCTACGCACAAAATACATTTTGAAATAGCGTTTTGCTATTTCGAAATAGCGCGTCCATGCTGAGCGGATGCTGAATCGCATTGAAGGCCGGCCAGAACCAGGTCTGGCAGTGCATCAGGTCAGCAATTACTTTGTGTGGCTGCTGCCTGAGGCTATCTGAGGCCTGTGCTTAAAGGGTCGCCCCCTGGACAGCCAGTTCTCAGCTTTCCCTGCTTGCTTGCCTCCCTCGATGAGGGACAGAAAAGCATTTTGTCTCTGCGTATCTGGTTGCCCTCACTCAGGGCACCACAGCACTCTGCAACACATAGCCAGAGCTGCCCCTAGGCACTCTGGTGCTTCTCGTGGACATGTTGCTGCAAGCCTGGCTGCACTTTCTGCAGACTGCCATCCGGGAGGTCCATCGGGGGCTGCCAGTATCCAGGAGGCCCTGCAGGAGAGCTTCCACCCTGAGGAGCACTAAGAGCCTCTCTGGTCTGCCCCACTGAGGGTTTATGCCTCATTCCTCCCTCACGTCCTTCCACTTACCCCTCCCTAAATGATGTCAAATAAAATACATATATTTTCATGAACACAAACTCTCTTTATATTACAAAACTGGGGCAGGTGGGAGGATGAAACTATGGTGAGACTGGGGAAAGGAGG